AGAGCCGGGGCCGGGGAGGGGCTGCAGCCCGGGACGGCGGCCGCGGTCCCGGCTGGACGGACGGACAGCCCAGACCTCGGGGATCGCGGGCAGCCCCCGGGTGTGGTGGTCCCGAGGACAGTATTGATAAAGGGCGTGGAGAGCGTGCGGGGACTCGGGGTGGAGCTGCCCCGCCCGGCCCCGCCCGGCCCGCAGCCCCCGACCTCGCGCCTCGATCGAAGCAGGCCTGGGCCGCTGCTCGGCGCCCTACAAAACCGTGGGGCAGTTAACCGTGTCCCGTCCCCTCATCCTTCACGGCGGGTGGCACAGATCGATGGGATGACTGCCGACGGGCCATTTTATCACCTTACATGCACAGTCACGCCTCTTCCAGCCCCTCATACCCGGCTCCACGCGGGGACTCGCGCGCGGGGTCAGGGGCGATGCACAACAGCCGAGTCCTGGGCGTGCACACGAGAGGAAAGGGGAAAGGAGGACACAAAAGACTCCCTCTCCTCACAGGGGACCGGGTCTGAAATCTGAAGGCCAGCAGGGAACCTGGACAGGGCTGGGGGGGGAAGCAGAGGCCGCGCCTGGGAAGGGCCGGCTGGTGGACCGCTCACTCCACGCTGCTCCAACAGGACCTCCTCTTCCCAGCCCGAAGGGGGAAATCCTGGGGAAGGTAAGGTCTAGAAAGCATTCGCCTCCCCCCACCCCCCCCCCAGGTCTCTTTCCCAAATCTCACAGTAGGGCTCACCACAACCAGACAGACAACCAACCCAAACCTGGGTCAGCTCTCCTCTCTCCAGCTCTTCTCAACCCCTAAGCAAATGGGCCACTGCTGCCAACCCAGCCTCCGACCCACGCTGTGCACACACCGGCGTGCACACACCGCCGTGCACACTGGCTCTGTTTCTGGCATCCCCTTAAATCATCATGGGATTAGAGACACCCCTCCCCACTTGGGGAAATTGCTTGCGCGCCCCAACTCTCCCCTTCAAAGACACCCCAACAGGTTTAATTTTTGCGCTTCCTTCTCTGAAACTAGGGAAGAACTTCACACAAAGGTATGAAAAGCTAATTGGCTCTGCCAAGGTAAGATCCGGGTCCTCCACACATACCCCAGATGCTCCTGGGATTGCTTCTCTCCATCCTCTAAGTGGAAAGACAAGGTCTCATACAACGGCACCAGCTTCCAGAACCCGAAAAGAAGGGGCCTGAGGGAATCAATGGCTTCAGGCAACCTAGCAGCAAATGAGGGCAGTAATACCCAGAAGAGAGCTCCCTTCCCCCCTGTCCAGGTATTACACTGCACAGCACTTGGCTTTTAAGAGAAGACAGTAGCAGCAACAACTAAGCATTCACAGAGCTCAGTAGAAAGTATCCCTCAATCAGCGAGTAAATTGATGCATGCAGTTAGATAACAGAAATCATTGCACGGAGTTCACTCTG